CCCTCTCTAGGCGATCTGTTCTAGTGTTTAACTGCCCTTGGATAGTAGGGAAAACTGATTCTAACCTAAATCTTTAGTGTTATAACTTAAGGCTGTTACTACTTGTGCTGCCTGTAGAGCACAGACAAAAAAATACCCTCCTTTTTTTTATAGCGACCTTTTTGTCGTCAAATACAAAAATGAAATTTCCCCTCAGTTTTTTCTTTCCTGGACAAAATAATCCCAGTTTTTTTTCTCATACATCATGTTTTCTAGACCTCTAGTTATTTTTGTTGCTGCACTCTTAATTCAGTTTTTTCCATCTTTCTTGAAGTGCAGTGCACAAAACTGGATGCTGGATGTCAGATGTGGTCTTAGCAGTGATGAACACAGTGGAAGAATTGCTTCATACAACTTGTATATGATACTTCTACTAATACATCCCTGTATCTACTATGTTTTTATTTTTTGCATGTGTTACACTTACACTTAGCCTGTGTAGCCCCTTGTTCTTTTTTCTGTCATAAAACCGAAATACATAGGTCCATCTGAAACATCATTAAGTTTTAGTCTCCTCTTAATTATGTATGCTTTCCTTTAATCTTTATCATCAGTTTAAAATCAAGGTTGGTCCCAGATATCACCTTTTTCAAGTATGACAAATCCACTTATGCACTCTTGGCTTTGCCTTCCATAGACTTGTGAAATGAGGTTGAGGGTGACTGTTCAATTTTAGCATAAAGTAATATTTCCAACAAAACATGGCTAAACAAACAGTATTACATTGATTCTAACACATGATCTTGTGTATGGCTCTAATGAAAAATGTTGGAAATATGGTAGATATTTGGCTTTCAAAATATAACTTAGTTGCTTTCATTTTTGTACTTTACCACTGGGACAAATCTGTTTTCACAAGGGCTTCTCAAAAACAGTTGCTTACAAAACATTTGGGCTTATGTTATGTTAAAGCAGATTGAACAAAGGAATACCAACCCGACTGACACAGAAGTGCCTTTCCCTACTTCATGTAACATAATTGAAATTGACTTGGCAGGAAGTTGTATAGAATCTGACAAGCTTGATTATAAAAGCTTCATAAAAATTTTAAAATGTTAAAAATTATAAAAATTGTTTTTAATGAGAAGAATCCATTTCTGTAAGTCTGTTGTTATTTACTAATATTTGCTCGGTAGGCTTTTCTTGAGAAATGTCAGAAATTAGTAATGGGTAATTTAATATTATTTTGACACTGATGAAGATGGATGAGTTGCGATAAAACAGTGGGAGATTTGAAATTCTTGGTATGTTTGACACTAACGACTAAACAATGTGCTGACTATAGGTCTTAGAAATATTCTGATATACTTTTCAGTTACTTTAGCTTATAATTGCCTTCAGGTCAAACCTGAAGAATGCCCTGCATTCAGAAGCTTGTCTAAGTCTATCCCAACCAAGCAGTTGCTTCAATAAAAGTTATCCCCCACAAAAATCCTTGCCTTTCTCATTAACTAAGACTGAAAACTTTGAACAGAATTTTATCTAAAACCGATATTGCTTCATTCCTAGATTTGTAATGAATACATTCATTCTGACTATTTTTAGTCACCCCTTTCCACATCTAGTTCCCCAAATGACACTTGATTTATAACTGTACTTAAATTTTTTTAATACTTTCTTTCCTGTTAGAGAAAGAGGTGGCAATTTTTAAATTCCAGTCAAATCTAAATGTCATAAGCAAGCAAATAAACTCAGTGTGTGAAAATCCATTTTCCTTCTTTGGGCATGAACTTATGTTCTTGGGAAGGTTATTTGTGGTCTTCTATAGATTAGCTTTTTTAAAAAAAAAATCACCATGGGAAATGAAGGTGAAGTAGAGACTTCAGGATTGACACCACCGTCTTTACATTTAGGAGGCTGAGAAGGCCAGTAACTATTGCAGGGTGTCCCTATCTGTCCCTCCCCGCCATCCCAATTCCCCCCGTTCTTGTACAGACTAGCATAACCCATAACCCTCCATTCTGCCAGAGGATCAGAGGGGTCAATAACTGCCCTCGTTTTAAGAATTGTAGCTGACCTTTTAGGGGTTGGTATCTTTACAGTAAGGAAAAGGGACCTTGAAGTTCATTAAAGGAATTACCTGCTTGTCTTGATTTGACAAGAGAATTGGGGTTGGGAGGGCAGTGAATTTGGGAAGGGATGGAAGGGGTAAATGCAAAGCAAATATTCTATTTTTGTGACTTAAAAGGCGGGTCAAACAGGAACTTGTCAGGCACCAATTTGTAGAGTATTCTTTTCATTGTAAGCTACTTTCTCCTGTTTAGTGACCAGCTTATGCCATGTAGGACAGGCTGGCAGTAGAAATATTTTTATCAACCTGCTATATTGTACTTTTGGTGGTTGGGGTGGTGTGGGCATTCAGGCACACAGTTGATAGGTCAGAGGTCACAAGTTCAAGGCCACAGCAGAAGTCCTGTCAGATTCCAACAAATCTGCACATTCTGCTAAGTACCTTGTCACAAAGACATGAAAAAAGAAGGGGTTGTACTTTTTACCTCATTATGTATATTTTCTCCAAATGGACACTAATACAAAAGGCTTCCTGTCCTGGATAGTTTTAAAATGCTGACTACAATGCAACTCTATTTCACGGTGACCTTTTTTTTTTCTTATCAGGATTATTTGCATGAGATTTTTTTTTTTGTCTATCATCACTGAAAACAATACATGTTTTCAAATATTTTGTAAAAAAAAAAAAAAAAAATGTAGTATTATAAGACATTGGATGACTAACCCTAATTTTAATGTAGCCAGATTCTTGCTTTTGAGAGAGAATTTTGAACACAATATGTATTTTCATATTTAAATATATTATCATGTAGATTGTATTGTAGTAATTTTCTACCATGATTGTGGCTTGAAACATATTGTTGCAGATTTGATACTTTAATAAATAAATGGAATTTTCTCAATTTCCAGGGTCCGCATTGCCCTGGAGTTCATTGGATATTAGTGCTGTATGCTCTGTGGCATGCCTTTGGATACAGTTGTGACCCACTTGGCATTTCAGTATTCATCAGTATTGCGTTATCGCAGTTTTTTGTTCTGCTGCTCCTTGCCTACAGCTACATATAATCTCAAATAATATTTACTGTTAATTATGTGGAGTGAGACTGAGGTTCTCATAGATCAAGGCCTGAAGGGACTATTTATAATTATCTAGTCGGATCTCCTGCATTCAGGCCAGAGTACTTCACCAAGTGTTCCTGAATCAACCGCTATCCTGAATCAACCCTTAACTTCTGTTATTTAGAAAGATACCCATTTTATTACAACAGTAAAAGCTGTGCTAACTGGCATGAGTGGGGTAAGGGGGTGCCAGGTATCTTAAAATTCTGGTTATCTGAGGCAGGGGTTTTCAACCTTTTTGAAAACCAGTGTGGAGCGTGGGGTGCGGGGGGGAATGGCAGCCACACATGGAGCAGGGGTGTGTGCAGAGCAGCAACAGCACAGGGTGGCACGTGGCGGCCGCTGCCACATGCAAGCTCAACACACCCCCCACCCCCCTTGCATCCAGCTGGCTAGAAATTCCAGTTAATAGAGTATTCCAGATAGTAGAATGCTGGTTAACACAGCCTTTACTGTAATTAATTATCTCAGTTGTTAAGATACATATCTTCTTTCTGGTCTGAATTTGTCTAGCTTCAGCCTTCAGCCAGTAGATTTTTATTGTCTCTTAATCTGCTATAATAAAGAATCCTTTTCCCATGTAAATACTTACTGACCAAGATTTAATACCACAACTTGATGTTCTCTTGGTTAAATTAAATAGATTGAGCTTCTTTAGTCTTGGACTATGGCCACCATTTTGACCAAGTGCAAGAATTTTGACTTTGTCAAATGAAGTGATTTTTTTTCTGTGTGGGATCCTTGCAGTTGACCCAACAAAACCCAAAGCACAGAGCTGCTTGTCAAAGTAGAATTATCTAAGTCAGACATTACAACTTACTCTTGCCCTTACTTAACAGAAAATTGATCTATGCCAGTATAGCACCACATTGACCTTTTAGCAAATCCTTAATGTGTTGTTTTTAAAGTAGAGCTGGTTTTAAAGATGGGTCAAAACTGAAACTGTTCAGACTTGAAATGTAGCCTTTGATCACAAACACCACAGTTACAATTGTCACCTTTTTTTGTTCTTCAGGTAAGTAAGTAGACTTATATTAGATCCTCTTTTTATTTCTCGTAAGTCAGTATTTCCTGACTCTTCGTGCTTGTGACCGCAATCCAGACAACAGCACTCTGGTCCATGTAAAATCAAAATTCTGTGCCTTGAAGCTCTTTTTGACATAGACCAGAAGATCTCTGTTTCAGCCTGTATCAGATAATATATAACAACTATAAAATTACTTAAACTGCATAGCAGATTAAGTAGGGAGAAGAAAAGCATGGGTAATAGTCATAATCATGCATATTAATTACTACTTTGGATGTTGACTACTTTTCAGCTGAAATAGAGGTTGAGACAGTGAACAGTGTTATGCTTTCTCTTGTGCAGAATAGCCTGGTATTATGTTTTTGGTTGAATTCCTATTGTAAATATGCATTTTTTAAAAGTTATAGTAGAGATCCTCTTCTCTGTGATGTTACAGGGCTTGGTTCATTTTTCTTGAGGTTTGGAGATTTCTATTGTAGCATCCTTAAACTTGTAATGATTTAGTCTGGTATCTTTTTCAGAAAGGAGTGCAGACTGAATCTTGCAGGTCCCCATAAAGCAAATAAATCATTATTTAGTACTGGCACAAAAAAGAACCATTTACATGTCCTTTTATTAGCTTAGGGCTTACTAGTGAACTCAAAACTGGCTCTGGTAAGTTTCAGGGTAGCTTTAGTCCTTCAGGGAACACAGCTCTAAAGGTTTTAATATCACTGGGAGGTTAGATATATGCATTTAGTTCTTCCTTATCCATTGCTTTAATTTGTTTTTATTGATTTTTTTTTTTTTCTTCCCCCCCCTCCAGAAAACCAAGATTGTCTGCATCATGTAGTCCATGAACGTTTAGGGGAGCTGCTGCGTGTTCTAAAAGCAGTGATCAACAAACATCAGACTCTCAACTCAGTTGACATTCTTAGTGCTGCAGGAATGGTCATTGCAAAAGTAAAAGGTAAGAAAACAACGCCTTTCAAATACCAGGAGAATTCAACTAGTTGGACATAATGTCGATTTTACTCTGTCATATTTCAGCATATTAACTTCGTTCCCTAATTTTGGAATGGATTGTGTGTATGTAAAAGGCAAACAGTTTAATTATATAAATGATTTAATAGTCTATGTTGATATGTGAGTACCTCCCTCAAGTCAAGTGTAGCATTAAATAAGCTTTTAATTTTTTTAACATAAAAGTTGGATGGTAGTATACAGAAATCAATCTACAAAAGAACGTGGCTCATGAAACCACAAACACTTTTCACATGCATGCATAGCTGTGAATTGAAATCAATATTAATATGTTTTTCATCCTTTCATATTTACTTTGCCATGATGACCTAGCAAATGGATGAATAAATTACACAAATGTATAGACAAGAGCTTTTAGATTCATATCCTGATTGAAGAAATATCCAAATTAGTATATAAATCTGTAATGGTCTGGTAGTGCTTGTTCATATAGTCCGAGAACAAGGGGAAAATAAATTTGCTAAAGCTGTCCACAAATGACAGAGATGTAGCTGTTGTTACAGTAAGATAGAAGGCACTAATTCTGCAGATGTGTATAGGTCCAGCCCACCCAGAAAGTGGCACTGCTGTGATGAACTACATAATCGGTCTAGATCCCTCTCATCCATCTGTATCTTGTACTCAGCCTTTGAGAGCAGCTTTCTTCAGCCCTAGAACCAGTTGGGTTTGAAAGTTAATGTGAAGTCAGTAGTACTCTTACCTGCCTGACAGAAATAATGTTTTCAAGTGTGAGTAAAAATGCCACTAGAGATGCACTGATATATCAGTTCCCTATCGGATTGGCGCTGATATGGGGAAAATTGACAGTATCGGAAATCAGGTTTTCTTGCCTAATGTGGCCAATAAATGCCCCATACGTGCATACAGCCACAGCATGCATGGAGCCAGGAGCACAGCCTGGCAGCTTTGAGACCAGCATTGGGCTGGTA